TAGTAAAAACAAACCTGTTCAAAATGGCCTCCACAATAAAGAGACCTTGCTGGCTCACACAACTGAAAGGGTTCAGAGGCTGGGTGCTCCCACCTCTGGGATTCTCTCAGTCTCGCCTGTCTCCTTGATTTCCAGATGGCCACCTGAAGCAGCCCCAGTATATGCTGCCTGTGTCACATGTAGGGGATAAAGCGGTCATCCCTTCTCTCAAGTGCTGAGCAAGAGTCTTGAAACTTACACGCTTGGGCACAACCTGGTCACGTAGGTCAAGTTGCTGTGTGAGCCAATCCCTATTGTTGGTGGAGCAGTGCTTGCTGAGTGGCTCCAGGCTGGGGAAGGAGCCATCCCTGCACCAAGGACAATGGAGAAGAGGTGAACTCTCCTGATGGGTCCACCTCTAGGGACCCATTCCTAGAATTGGTGTTGATGGTAGTGGAGGCCATCGCAGTAAGACTCAACCTTATCCAAAACTCTGGTTGTATAACCAAGAGGGAGGGTGAGAACGGCTGCCCAGGAATGCAAAGGCAAACAGTCTTTCCATAGTTTCCTACATAGTTACTACTTCATGGAGGGGTAGGTCAACTCCAAACTTCTGACTCCAAAGCTTTTGCTTTTTGTTAGTGACCAAAGGCACTAAATTGGAAGTAAAATTTATGTAAATAGTGTGTCTGGTCAAGCAAAGCAGGCACCAATATTACTTCTGGTACCCAAAGAGTCCTGTGAGCAGACCCAGGACCCAGGGCTACCTTTCTCCCCAGCTGTGCTGCCAGGTTGTCCCGATGCCGCTGCTCTGTTCCCCAGCAGCCTTTCCACCCGGATTTGTAGTCCTTTGAAGGCAGAAGCTGGCTTTCTGGGGCAGCTGAGGAAGTCTGTCCTTACCACCCAGGAGGGTGCTCACTCTGTGCAAGGGGCAAATGGCTGCCCCGGATCCCAAACTTTTTGCCTAAGGGTTTCAGCTCTGGGCAAGTTCACTACAGATTCAATGAGACCCAAAAATGACAACAGGACGTTCATGGGGTAAAGGTGTTTATACCCAGTTTTATTCTAGTGGTGGCAGGTCAAGAGCTTGGATCCCGTCTCCTCCTCAGGGCAAGTCTGCCTGCGGCAAGGTGGTCTCTGCCTCCAGGCCTCTCTGCCTCCGGGCTTCTCCACCACCTTGTAGCCCTCACCTCCGCTCCTGGCTCTCCCTCGCTCTCTGCCCCAGGCTCTGCCCTCTGCTCCCGGCTCTCTGCCACGCTTTCAGCACACTGAAGCTGGCCACACCGCTTCTCCAGGTTTTAACTTGCAGAGCTAGCCTGAGTGATCTGGAGCCCTTTCCAGGGTCTCATTCCAGCAAAACGAATGCGTGATGAGATGGCTCCCCAACAACCCCTGTGTTCTCCATTTGGGGACTAACACTGCCTGCTTCTAATTCTTTGCCCCAGAATAACCATGTGTCCACATGGCCTCTTCCTTTGGGCGGTACGGTTGGAACAGGGTATGTGAATGGTCCGCGGCTGT